GGTGTGATCCGCGCTGTGATTCAGATGCTTCATTGAGTTTTACCATAACTGCTAGTTATTTATTGCTTGTAAACGGAATTTTGTACACAACTGAAAAACATGGTAACACGAGACTATCGCAGAATTGTGGGTGATGTTCTCAACACTTATAGGCGTCATATTCACGCGCAAGCATATGCGAACGTAAAAAATGATGCAAGATGGAACGCTTTTTGAAAATGGTTTTTTGCATGAAAAAGAGTACATGCATGGAGTACAAAACTAGGCTCCATTTTTTCTGAGCGGCCCTCTGAATGCCAAAAAAGGAGTGAAAAAAATTTCTTCAGAAATCGGAGTTTTCACACCTTCAACGTGGTTTATATCACTCGTAGCGTTAAGTGGACGCACAATAGAAGGTTTTCTTCACCTGAACATTGAAAACAGCGTGGAATAAAGCCAAATAAAAATTGTATATAATAAGTGCTCAAAAGCACAAGGAAGTTTCATCAGAGTCGTTGACATTCAAGTACCAGCGGTGGTCGGATGGTCGAGTGGATAGCGTGATGGACTCTGGTTGGCACGGTTTGTTCGAAGTTGTTGGTTCGGTTCCCCTCCATGCTCGGATTTTTGCATTTTTTCCGATTATCACTTTTTTACATTCGCATGTGCTTGCGCGTGAACTTAAAGCCTATAAGTGTCGAGAACTTTCTCCCACAATTCTGCGATAGTCTCGTTACCATGTGTTTTTCAGTTGTGTACAAAATTCCGTTTACAAGCAATAAATAACTAGCAGTTATGGTAAAACTCAATGAAGCATCTGAAGCACAGGCGCCATTCAAAAAGTGCAGTTGTTGTTCTCTTCGCAAGAAACACCTACTTCATTTCCTTGAAGGCAGATTGCCGGCGTTGAGGAATGTCCAGGACGTAGCCAGTGCCCACCCAGGCATACGCCATGCATCGACGAGATCAAGGGGTGATGCCAGATTGCCCCATGGGCAGGAACTGCGGTGGAAGTGTAACTATCAACCAAACGTGCCGCTTGCTATCATCTCGAAGCTGTCTCCAAGTGGGAAGCGTGCATGCCGTACTGACTATGGGCTTACCCATGGCCCAATTTTTGAATTCGGGCCGAAATCTTGATCTTCTCTAAAACTGCGGCTATAAGGGTAATTATAGGCGCTGATTACGAATCTGACGTCCATTTTTGATGGAGGCGCGATATTGCGCCATTTTAGCCTCCTCGGGCACCAACTCGGCGCCGCTTTAGCGCCATACAATTTTCGCCCCAATTCTGGGCAGAAAGCTAATCAGAAAGGTTGATGATGACCCTGATTGTAAGAACAGTACCTATTTTTATCGGCGGCAACATTTGGAGTCATTTAACAGGCGCTAACATGAAATGCAAAATTTTGTCATCAGCCGGGACCGATCCCACAACCAATTTTTCGCTCCTTTTTTTCGCTCATGAGCCGTCAGATACCTCCACATTTCGTTCCCACATGTCCACACGGTAGTAGGAGATTCAGTCAGCCAGTACGAATTTGATTTGAATTCGATTGGCGTTGTAGAACTTTCAGCATTTTGGTAAATTGAAATATGAATAAAAAATTTACTAGCAGTCCAATTTTGCTCCGCCCGCTATCGCGCGCATCACAGGGTAGGGAGGAACCACGGAATAGCAGCATGACGTACTCCATTAACCACCTCACTATTGAATGTGTTATACCTCCTTATACCCCTTCTCTCCGGCGCATGGCAGCACCATGTTCTCCCTCCCTTTCTCCTCTCCCCCTTCCCTCCCTCTCCCCCTCCCCTCTACCTCCCGCCGACCACCGGCTGCCCCGGCAGCAACCATGTAGAATGAGGCTGAGGCAGTCCGATAAGGTTAGGAAAATTCTAAGGCAACGGATCCGGATCTTTCGCAGTCCTGTCCTCGATCACCGGATCACCGCCTCCGTGTACGATCTTCACGGAGCATACGGCACGCCATGTTCTCTCTGTTTTCTACCTCCCCGCGCTTCCCCTCCTCCTTTCTCTTGTCTCGCCTCCCTTCCAGTTCCCTCCGCGCTGTTGTCTTGGCCCGCTGTCCCTTCTAAAAACTCGGCCCCCTCCAGCTGTCCACTGCAGCCTATGTAGAATAATGGCTAGAGTGCTTGTTCTATGCTGGTGTTTATATTAGCCCGCTTGTAGGTGGTTATGGCTGATTCAGCGAAAATCATTATAATCATTTGAAGCTTTTGCCGTGCTTCGGCACTCCTGGGTTTTTGTTAGCGGTCGGTCCGGACAGACAGAACGGCACACACACCGACAAACCGACACACCAATAGTTCTGGTTTATAATGAAGTGATAGCACTGAAAATCCTACTATATATAATTCGCTAGTATGTCTGTGCGTGTGTGTGTACGTCTGTGTGCGTGTGTCACGAAATTCATAGCGCGCGTCCAGCAGTCGTTGGAGTTGATTTTTTGATATGATATAGGGGGTGGACGGGAACATATTTGGTGGGATAATAAAATAAAAGGATAAAGCATTTGCCGTTGATCAATCCCTTTTGGGATGCGGCACGCATTCTACTTCCATTTGTACATTCGTAGTGGCGTTTGAATGCGATGTGGCCTATACAATGACTTGCGGGGGCCAGCCGATGTACAAGTCAGTGTTTTTATCCTCCCAGACAAGTCTGGTACCAATTAACCGACCCCGGAGGGATGGAAGGCTTGGTTGGCCCGGGCGACTCACGACCCAGGATTTGATCCCCGGACCGCTCGCGTGGTAAGCGCGCCACTTGTCACTACACCACTTCCGCCCATAGAAAGTGATAACTACTGATAAAATGCGATAACGGCGTTAGAACGCGGACGTCACGAAATGCATGGCGCGCGACCCAGTAGCAGTGAGGCGTTGCTTTGCAGATATGATATAGGGGGTGGGACGGGAACATATTTGATGGGACCAGAAAGTGATAACAGCTGATAGGGCTGATAAGAAGCGTTAAAAGGCAATGTCACTGAAGTTCTTATCCAGATGTGGATAAGAAACATCATTTCTTCGCGATGTTCGTGATCCATTCGACCGCTAATCTGCCCGAGCTTCTTAAATGGTCGGCGTCTGTGGAAATATGATAACTATTGGTGTTTGTATCTCATCACGGCATAGGAAGTTATTCGACCGCTAAGCTTTCCCAATATCCAAAGTAGAAAATGCTCCGTTGCGAAAATTCAAGGGATAACGCCATCACAGTTCCAAGTTGACTTCCACTCGAAAACAAGAAGTTGTCGGATCAACTCGAGCTATAGCTCATTCGATAGAGCTTGAAAAGTTGTTCAAGGGTATGAATGTTGGTTTAGCTGTTTCGGGGGTCCCAAGGGGTGTTTTGGGGCTTCAAAGTTGGAAATCAAGTGCAGCGCGCAGACGTCGTTGTTTTCGCGGAAATAGCACGCTAATCGCGGAGAGATTGACAGCACGAGCACGCTGCTTCGGTGAAAACAGCGGAAGAGTACTGCCGTCGTTTCTGACCAATCAGCGGAGAGTGGGCGTGGCCACTTCGGACGGGAGCCTCCGTGAAAGCTCGATCGCTGGCTGTTTTCAGTGCATTGGGGGAACTGTTGACTGCAGCTCGCTTCGTAGTGGGGCGATCGAGTGAAATTTTGAGAATCGGGACAGAGTTGGGATGTGAAGAGCTGCTAGAAATTTGAGTTTGATTGGTTGGCGGAGAAAAAAGTTGGCATTTGGTCGTTTTCAATCATTTTGGATGGATTTTAAAGAAAAGTGAGGATGAATTGAGTGAGATTGCGGCTTCGCGCAATGTGATGGCTCCCTTCCAGGTCCCTACAACATGCATTGTACCCGTTTGTGGCGCTAAAATGCATTAAAATGAGTACAAATGGGTTAAAATGGCTTTAAATGCACTGGAATGGTGTTTAGGTGCGCGCTAGTGCGTTTACTGCAGTGCAAAAAGGGCCTATCTTAAGTTAATCGAATACTTATCGCACTGATTGTGCGAGTAAATGTTGATTTGTTTCTATTTAATAGTGAATGCTATTCATTTCCTCGTCCAGATGGTTGGTTGCTCCGCGGCAAATCGGTTGCTCGCCAGGCAAATGTGCGCCGCAGCCCACATTTCAAATAGTTTGCCTGCAATATTCGACTTTGTGGAGGATTCGGTGAGTTTTTTTTCTTTGTTTCATGTATTCACTCGTTATTTTTGTACGTTATTAATGCTATTCGATGAGTTTGTGTTTGCACTCTGTGTTCTGCCGATGGGGGGTTGGATAGCGGCAGAACTTGAAAGATTCTAGCCCTTTCCAACTCACTTGTCTGGTTCTATTGCACGTTACTATCGTAACCTGGTGCGGTCAGACCCCACATTTGGAACATGAGCAGGCTCGATTTCACTATGGCGGGGGGGGGGCAGTTAGCGCCGCAGTCTAGTCTGATTTCACTGAATCGCTTGACAGCACAGCCCTTCTTCATCCACCCTGCTTTCTACAACATTTTAAGAAGGAGCTGATTCTGCGACATAATCGCCGCCATTCAGGTCTGGCTCCCTCGAAATACGACGCGTATCCTACTTGTACTCTGACACATTCACTAACCGCATCTTTATTCAAAAACAATTATTACAACAAAATGACAACAATTGTGGACGTGACAGTTTACTACGTACGAGATACCGGGAGGACCGAGAGTAACATGCCTGAAACCTGAAACGGAAAAAATCATATGAGAAGGTATACTGCGGTATTAATTCCAAACAAATTAATGGTTTTCACTGATAGAAAATATACTAAATCTGTTGCAATTCATTCATCGAGCACTGACTTTTGTTGAGCATAAAAAAATATGTGGTGCTAAAAAAGCTACTATCCTGTAAAAAAGGTTATCAAATTAAACTAAATGAAGTATAAAGACTTCTCAAATCAAACCTGTATTGAGTGAGATAATCATCAACAACTTCGCCTTCACATGTGACCACGTAGTCATCAATAAGGATTTGTTCACCTGTTGAAGTTGACGCAGCTAACTCTTCCTACTGACTTCCGTCCATGTTCCTGTAGAAAAAGGGCCAACTTCACGCTCCACAGCTAAAATAGCAACGAAGGGTAGAGTAAAAAGTAAGCTTACATTGCCAACGTTGATGAATTCCGCATCAATCCCGACATAGTCGCCTTCACCAATGGATTTCAAGCATCCTCCGCTCTCGGGCTACTTCTTCATTACCAGTAAGATTATTGTCCGTTTGAAAAACCGAGCACGGGATTGGCAATCGGGTTTCAGCAACTGAGTAAGAAATCAGTGATGTCAAATGGAAATCAATCAATCAGCGATATATTGCGCACGGTATGAACCTTTTATCAAATCGGACTTCTCTTTCGCATAGCAAAGAATCAACGGTAACTTCCATCGAGAATCCATATGGAGCGCTTCATCCTCATGAACACGAGTGACCAGCACATCATCAAAAAGACACCAAGGGCTTTTTCTAAAGCAATCTATCTCGCAAAAGAATGTGAGTACGAACTTGCTGTAATCGATATTATCCACTGCTTGCAGCAGCACTCCCTAGAACAACATAGCAAGCCAGGAAGCGTCATATCCTAGGGAACTTACGAGTCTGCATCGTCCTTGATAAGTATTAAAGAATGAGTCCATTGTCCATTACCATCACCAATAGCTGCTACAATTCCTACCAATTCATAGCGATCGTAGTCGCCCTCCATTGGCTTTTCGCTCAATATTGCCAGTCCGTTAGCTACCTATACAGGGAAATTAAGCAGATCTAGACGAACTACTGAAAGCTTAACTTGCAGAAAGATTAACATACAAAAGAAAGGACTGCAAAACAAAAAAAACTTTGAAGAGATACAAAAAGGTCAAAAAACGTCCTTTTTTCAAAAAAATACAAAACCAAATAAGAGAATCAAAAACTACCCTGGCATTGAACGCTGGAGTAACAAAATGTTTCCAATCACCACATCCCGTGTCTTTAAGCCATGAAGCGCATTCCAGATCCCAATCGTCCGTGCCATGCGAATATGAAACCTGAAACTGGTCATTAGCGCGAAGACGAAATACCGGGATATTGGAAAGGTTGGCTCGCAGTATTGACGCCAAGCCTTCAGGATGCTGAACCTTGAAGGCCCTCTTGCGCACTCACTAGTGCCATTATCGATTCGCTAGACTCGCTTACGTCTTAGAAGTTTCAAAAAACTAGAGAATAAGGGAAATTGAAAAAGACACGTCTTGCTCATGAGGACAAGAACGAGGGAATTTAGGGAAAAGCAGGTCTAGCTGCTGAATGAAGCACAAATTGAATGACACGACCGGATTCAAATAAGCACCATTCGAAATTCACCTTCTCCGCGACTATTTTCTAGAGAGATTCGGGAAGGACGTTCTTGCCTCGGCGGTTGATTGTACTGACACTGATTAAAACCAAGTACACAAGAATTTTAGGCAGATTTTGGCTCATAAGGATACCACTACAGTCTCTCCTACTGCGAGATACTGAAGCGTAATCTACTTTAAAAGCATACACACTAAAGTCGGAAGGAAAAGGTTTTGGGTCACTGTGTTGAAGGAGGACTCAAGTTGTATGAACGCGCGCATTTCTCAGAATTTGGCCAAATCGCCTTCAACTGCCCTGACTAATGTAGAAATGGAAGTGGAATGAGTGGCGCATCTCAAATTGGATTGATCAACAGGGGATGCTTTATGACTACCCCTACGTTCCCCTATAATATCTCTTCACCATCGAATTAAAATACCTGCAGGGTTCCGAATTGCGTAGCAGCACCTAGACATTAACATTTTACCAAGAGTGGCAATGTTGTCTGCCGCAAATGATGGAAGTCTATCGTTCCTGGGGTGAAACAGATCAATCGTGTAATCAAACTGCACAATGGGTACCTAAGCTGATTTTCAATTCTATAATTTACGGAACGCCGTAGAATCACTGGATGCCTGCAAGACTCGACCGCGAACAGGAAAGTGGACTTTAGCAAGGTGCGAAAGTTAACTTGACTCATTCACAGGAGAGATTTTAGAAGCGGCGTAAATTTCATAGTTCATTGAGCGAAAGCGCCAAAAATTTTCATTTCAAAAGACTGATGATCGTCGCCAATACAAAGGGCATCCTAAGTTGTTAGCAGCGGCCGCACTGCTCCAGGAAAGCACTTGATTTTAGGAGGGAGACGTGAGTGACGGTCGGCTAACCTCTTGTAACCGAGCGCATAAGAAGCAATTATGATGGCTGTTGCTGGGAAGAGGTCACCAGATAAGTCCATTCTGGCGAATTCTCAGCAACAACTAGCATCACAACCACTACCAATCGCTCGATTCGCCACTGGAACATTTGTGATGAGTTTTTGAACGTTATTCCTTCTATTTTATAAAGCGCTAACTTTGTGTGTCGGTTTGTCTGTATGTGTGTGTGTATGTATGTATGTGTGTCCGTCCGCAAAATGAAGTGAGTGAGAAGGAAGCTCATGGGATAAACAAACCGCTAACAAATCTGGGTAGCTCGCAGGATTTGCGCTATCAATGTTTTGCACAAGCATGATTGTGATAACCCAGAACGGCTATATAAACACGCACTTAGCACACTTTCGGTCATTCCACAAGGTGATGCTGTGGTAGCCGGCGAGCAGAGGAGAACGAGGGGTGAGTAAGGCTGCTTTCATAGTCTGCGGTCCGTGCCGTCCGCGCCGTCCGTGCGGACCGCTCGGACAGGGTGAAAAACGTCAACACGCGCTCTGGCGCACAATTGCGTACTTAGGCACGCAGTCGGCGCCTCCCTCGATCGATACCTCGATTTCGGTGCATTTCGTGCATTTTTCAATGTTTGTGAATATGTGGTGCGTTCATTCATGTTTTTTAGTTGAGACTTCTTCATTCTTGCCTTAGTCGATATGTTTCGGTAAGTCGGTAAGTTAATCAGTGCGCTTTGCTGATTGTTCAAATGAACTATCTTTCTAGAGCTCGCTTTTTCGCTGATAACGTCTGCGCGTGCCGCAGGGTAAGGGAACTGAGTGATTTCTCATCAATATCGCATCACATATTCACAAACATTGAAAAATGCACCGAAATCGAGTTATCGATCGAGGGAGGCGCCGACTGCGTGCTAAGTACGCAATTGTGCGCCAGAGCGCGTGTTGACGTTTTTCACCCTGTCCGAGCGGTCCGCACGGACGGCGCGGACGGCACGGACCGCACGGACCGCAGACTATGAAAGCAGCCTAAGGAGAGGAGGGAGAAGGGAAAGCTTACGCAAGGTAGGGAGGTTCCGGCGCTTGCCGGGGGACCAATCTGGTATTCTTACAATGCAAAACGATTGATCAGTGGCTATTCACAATATGCTTTTACATACCACAATCATATGTCAATAACAGCCTTTATGCTGAGCCGTACGAGCTACAGAAATTCTGATTTTTTCGGAGGGGGGGGGCGAGGGGGTCATCATTACGTACCAACCAGTTTATCAGTGATACACACTTGTTTTTCGACTAATGAAAATGACTGCAAACGGCGCACAATGTGTTCAATTTCTTTGTCCTTTCTACAAAATCATTCTGTGCAAAGGTAAGCGTGTGCCGAAGGTATGGGAATTGCGTCGCTAAAAATATAAATTTAACGGACTCTTTTGTTCCCCTAGCCTCAGAAGGGATAGGATACGGCCCTCCTTCCAACTGATACAGATGCTCCAGGGTAAGGGTAAAAGCAGAAACGAAATGGTCCCTCCACTATGGGGATTTTCTTCCTTATAAAAAATAGAATTTATGTAGAGGGCAGCGAGTGTCGCACCACGTGATCGCCATTACTGGTCGGGCTCCCTTATTATACTGAACGAGAAGGAGCACAACCACGAGGGGACTCATGTCCATGGGGGGGGCACATCCAAGCGAGTGAGCGAATTATTGTGCTTGTGACTAAGCCTCAGGCTGGGGAAAGAATTCTGTGGGAGATGCAAGCAATGTGTGTGGCCGTTTGCCGTTGCTCTCCCTCTTGGGCTTAGTCCTGATTTCACCTTCAATCGGCCATGTTGTGGATGTGCCCCTTCCCCCCACCCCAAGGACATGAGCGCCACCACGCGAACAACATGAAGAACTGCAAACTGAACTAAAGTAAAGTGAAAAAGCAGTTGTAGGAAAAAAGTTGTTGTAAGAAGTAGGTAATGTTACATTACTCACCACCGCTGCCCGTGCCATTGCGTACCGCTTCTGCCTACCGTCTCTTACGCCTGAATTTGCTGTGAAGCCAATGGCTTGGATCATCGCCGACAGATAGAAATAGGTGAAATTAAATAAATGGCTCAAATTTGTAGTAAAGGAAAGAATACAGGACTGATTCAGAGGGTTTCGTGATTAACTATCGGATGGAAAGAGAAGGAGGTATAGCTGACTCGTTGAATAACAAAGCATTAGCAGGGTTAAGCATTTAGCAGCACCACATTTGCTTGTGGAATACGCCACGAACTCTGAACTTATGCAGCAGCACAGAACCATTTGAATGCGATTTGGGCTACATAATAACAAAATGGGCGACTAGTTGAAACATATCACAATACTATTCCACTCACAGACTAGTCTGATACCAATTTACCGCTGATGACAGGAGAGAGGATTGGTTGCTTTCACGAGGTGAGATCTGAGGACGGCGCGTAGACACCACATCATGAATCTATATTAGTGACATATCTGCGACATTACATGATTCCTAAGCTATACACCTTATTTGATGAATGGCATAGAAAGAACATCGAAATCCGCCATATATCAATCCAGATAAACTTAATGTTATTTATCATCGTGGGCCATGTCTATGAGCTTCGTGTGAGGGGCTCCTTTTTGCTCTTGAGGGTGTATAGAAGCAGAATGTGGATAGATCCGAGGGCGTAAGTGGAATTCCACGGAAACGGAATGTAAGCAGATTCGCGTGAATTTCAAGATTGAACCATAAGGGACCTAAACTATGAGTACTGATTACCAACTCCTAACCGCGACCCTTTTTAAAAAAAAACCTAGCGCCGAAGATCGAATGAAACCAATATCGTTTTCGCAACCGCGATCAGTTACACATTCTTATGCCTAAACCTCTCGTATGAGGAGAGTGCACCGCTGGGCGTGCGCAATCGATCAACAGATGAGGGATCCAGTAAATATGAGAGCGTAATTTTACTAACCCAAATTCGGCTAGCCAGCCGAACGTCGGCCAGCCAGCCGAATATGGAAACCCCTTCCTCATGGATTACAGTATGCACTGCTGAGGGGTGCGCAATCGATGAACGGATGAGAGATTCGGTAAACATGAGTGCATAATTCTATTTTCCCAAAATCGTCATCTTAATCTCCACCTATCAATTCGAGATCGTAAAAGCGCCTTAAAGCATATTGAGGCATAGTTGGCTTACAGCATCGGACACGGTAGCCGAACCACGCCTCGCATTGTTCTGAATGGTTGCTTAGTCAATGCAGTGGAGGCATCTGTAGCGAATCGGATCGGTTCACGGCGCGAACTTGCCTTCCCCAGATTCAGCAATTTGTCTAACTCTGTGAACGACTGAACATGAAACCATTTTTAGTTTGTTCG